AGTGAGATATCACTGCACGCATATCAGAATAGCTAAAATCCATGACACTGACACCACCAAGTATTGATGAGGATGTGGAGCAACAGGAACTCTTGATTTATGCAGGTGGGATACAGAATTGTCCAGCCACTTTGGAAGACAGTGTGGCAGTTTGTTACAAAACTAAACAAACATCCCCTATCAATCCAGCAACCGTGTCCCCAGGTATTTACCCAAATGGGGTGAAAACTGTTCACACAAAACAGGAACAAGAATGTTTAGAGCAGCTTTATGTTGTACAATACTAACAAAATAAAAAAATTAAAAATGAATCCCAATGTGAAAAATTGATTTTAGTAATAATATGTTAGTACTGGCTCATCAGTAGGAACTACAAAACCACAGAATGCAATGTTAATCTTAGGGGAACTGTGCAGTGGGTGAGGGTGTGGAGCAGGTTGTGTATTAGAACCGTACTTTCTGTGCATTTTTTATAAGCCTAAAAGTGCTCAAAAGATAGTTTATTATGTGGGGGAGGGGGGAACGACTGTTGCAAGAAAGTTGAGTGACTACTGCAACCAGGGAAGGGCAATAGGAGGATGGCTCTGATCGTATGGTCTGCAAATGTCTCAAGGATTAGTCAGAAAAGGGCTTTTGTTTTCTGTGGAGTAAACAAGGCTAGAAAGAGCTGGGTGTGGGCAAGGAGGGTCACGGAGGCTCGTGGTTGGCCAGATCCAACAGCTGAGCAGGAAATATTTTCCCTTGACCTCAGATTTTGAGAGGGACCGTTTGGCATTCCAGTGCGTTTTTTAATCTGAAGGGTGAGCCAGATTTCAAGGTCGGGGGGTGGGGTCCCAGGGGATGTTTACATGGGCAATTTGTCTTCTGCTTTCAGGCTGAGGGGACCGGAAGGGAGCTCATCCTGTGTCTGCTTTTTAAAATAGGCTTCCGGATACAGAGCCTAGTTGCATTGCTGTGATTCTTTTTTTTCTTTTCTAATATATTTTGATTGATTTCAGAAGAGGAAGGGAAAGGAAGAGAAAGAAACATCAATGATGTGAGAGAATCATTGATTGACTGCCTCTTGCACAAACCCTACTGGGGATAGAGCCCACAACCTGGGCATGTGCCCTTGACCAGAATCGAACCTGGGACCCTTCAGTCTGCAGGCCAACGCTCTATTCACTGAGCCAAACTGGCTAGGGCTGACGAGTGATTCTTTTTTTTTTTTTTTTTCCTTTTTTAAAAATATTTTATTAACTTTAGAGGGGAAGGGAGAGAGAAACATCAATGATGAGAGAGAATCATTGATCAGCTGCCTCCTGCACACCCCCTACTGAGGATGGAGCCCACAACCCAGGCATGTGCCCTTGGCCAGAATTGAACCTGGGACCTTTCAGGCCGACAGGCTCTGTCCATTGAGCCAAACCAGCTAGGACCTGACCCGTGATTCTTGCTGAAGGCTGCAAGTTAGGAGAGGTCACATGACAGGAAGGGTCATGTGTTCTCCTAAACAAACATCTCCTCCCATTCCTGACAGATTGAACTCTTGCCCCCCCTCCAGGCTCTCTCAATGTTGTTGACTTGTTCTTTTCAACTTTTCCCAATAGTTGAGGTCTGGGCGGATGGATTGATAGCCCGACTCCATGGCCCTCACCTTTGTCCTAGTATGCACACCTCCATTAGGTGCATATCTGATTGTAAATGCAGGTGACCCCAGAAAACAGCCTCCTTGCCGAGACCGGTTTGGCTCAATGGATAGAGTGTCGGCTTGGGGACTGAAGGGTCCCGGGTTCGATTCCGGTCAAGGGCATGTACCTTGGTTGCGGGCATATCCCCAGTGGGGGGTGTGCAAGAGGCAGCTGATTGATGACTCTCTCTCATCGATGTTTCTAGCTCTCTATCTCTCTCCCTTCTTCTCTGAACAAAATCAATAAAATATATTTAAAAAAAGAAAAAGAAAGAAAACAGCCTCCTTTTGTAAGGCTTACCACATTCATGATCAGGATGGAGAGGTGAGGAGTGATGTAAACCCGCTTTGAATTTTTTTTTATTTTTAGATTTAGGACTTTGACTCATTTGTAAATACAATGCCTCTTTCTAGTTAAGTTGCATAAAATATTTTCCTGTGAACACACTTTCGTCCCTCATGCAAATAGCCTGTCAAAGTTGAAAGATCTGGGTGAAAGAGAATGGGGGATAATTGAAAAAAAGTTATGATTGTTGAATGAGGCCCTTTGATTTGTAACAGTGAAGAAAAATAAAAATTCAGCATTTAGGGAGGGACAGGTGTTGGGAGGGGCATTAATAATTTTTGTTTTTCAGAATTATTCCTGGAAGCTTTCCTTCCTTTCTGAAGGAAATCTGACCTTTCCAACTTACTTGTATGCTAGTGCTTGAATTCAGATTGCTGAGCCAATGAATGTGGAGGACAGCAATGGGGTGGCAGGCTGGGGGCCAGCTCCTGAACATCCCACCCAGAAAACCTTAGATGTCATCTTTTTTTAAATAAATATATTTTATTGATTTTTTTACAGAGAGGAAGAGAGAGGGATAGAGAGTTAGGAACATCGATGAGAGAGAATCATTGATCAGCTGCCTTTTGCACACACCCTACCGGGGATGTGCCCGCAACCAAGGTACATGCCCTTGACCGGAATCGAACCCGGGACCTTTCAGTCCGCAAGCCAACACCCTATCCACTGAGCCAAACAGGTTTCAGCCTTAGATGTCATCTTTAATCATGAGGTAAATGAACTGGTATCAGGGCTGAGCAAATGTTTGGGACTGTCAGGCCATCCCTCTAAAACCAAGGACTCAACTGATTGTTTTAGACTGAAACCCAGGATGGGCAGCCCTACAGTGGAAGGCCACACTCGGGGAGCCCAGTAACCTGTACTGCCAGACTGAGGTATGTCCTGCTTGTAAATTGTAAATTCTGTTTCCAGGGGCACCACGTGTGTCTTCTGAGATTGTACTTCTTAGGTGTGTATCTGATGATCATGGAAGGTAGCCACGTTGGTTTATTGGTCAGGGTTGTGCTGTGCCACCAGGTAAAAGGGATAGAAAAGAAACTCAAGGAGAAAGTGACCTGACAAGAAACAGACCTTATTAATTAGTAGGATGACTAAAGTCAGGATCCCTAAAGGGCATAACCGAGGCCAATACTGTAAGGTCTCCCCTGTCATGTGAGTTCCTACTGATAACCCTTGGACGGCAAAGACACCTTGGCTAAGGACCGAGGGGATGGACTATACAGATAAGCATGAAACCAGAGACCATGACCTTAGAAAGACCTGCTTGCAAGGTTGGCCCTTAGCTGGCAGCTGGGAACTTGGATTTTTTGGAGTGTTCTCACCATTTCCTGACAGAGAAGCATGGTTATTGTTTGTGCAAATGATGTGTTTAACGCTGACATCTGCTTTCCTTCTGGGAGTCTGGGATTTTGTTAGTGTTAAGTAGATGGACCTTATGTAACTAGTCTCCAGTGAAACCATTAGCCATGGAGTCTTTAACGAGCTCACAAGAGTTGTCATAATTTGATGTTGGAGGAATCAAGCAGGTTCTGTATGATCCTCCGGGGAGAGACTTTGGGAAACGTGTGCCTCGTTTTCATTATTCTTAGACCCAAGCACATTTTCCCTGGGCTGATTTTGCTCTGTATCTTTGTTGTCATAAATCTAAGCCGTGACTATGACTCTGTGTTGAGGTCTATGAATCCTTCTAGTGAAAACCGCCAGACCCATGAACTGTCTTGGGGATTTCTGTTGCTGACTTCTCAGACTTCTCACTGGAAAAACAATACTGCAGTGATTAGGAAATGCTATCTCCATCTGGTGGAGCAAAGGAGAGACAGCCAAAGACTGGCCAAGTGCGGATCTCTCTCTCACCTACCCAGCTTCTTGTGAGGATTCCCCTTGTCACCCTCTCCTTCCACAAATGGCATGCTCTTAGGTTCCCAAACCATGGGAACATGGGCTAGGCACACAGTGGCAATAATTAGGCTTACCTGGGATAAGAGTCTATCTCCTGGTGGATCCCAACTGCAGGTAGGTTTCCACATAATTTAGCAGGGGGAAAGGAGCAGGGACATCAAAGCTCTTGTGTTTAATATCTCAAATTGGCGTCAGTGTTCCTCCATAACAATGGTGAGTGTGTGTGTGTGTGTGTGTGTGTGTGTGTGTGTGTGTATGGTGGGGTTAAGGGAGGAGACTGTGAACTGGTACTTAGCAGGGAAGCAATTGCCAAGGTATTCGTGTGTGCGCAGCAACTCTGGTCTATAGCAGCAGCTGCTAACTGGGCATAGGGCTCGGGTTTGACTCCTGAGCTTCAGTGAGCGTCATGGTTCCCAAAGCCCTAGCATGGGCTGGCTATGGGGTGAGAGTGTTAGTTCCATGGAGGAGCTAAAATGGACATGTTGAGAATAGGATGGCACAGCCGTAGTAAGTACCCACCATCCCTAACAGGAAAACGAAGAAATAATATTACTCATAGTCACACATGCACACCACACAGTTCTATCCTGAGTAGAAATTTTGATATTTATTGTAGCATTACTAGCAGCAATACATATTTACTATAGTTATCACTATAAAAAATACATATATATACATGGCTGAGGTCATGCGCAGCATGGTAGGAATATTGCAGGGTGAGTCAAAAGCTAGTCTTCTAGGAGGCCTAGAAAGTTAAACAGTAATGGGGTGAGGAGGTGAGATACTGTTGGTAGGCAGTCTACCAGCTATGACCCTTGGCAGGAAGGGCAGAAATAGGGGATTTCTGGTGAACTGAGTGCAGACTGAGATAATCACATCTCCCAGGGACTCATTAAGTTAAATGACAACTGGGTGTGGCTGGTATGGAACAAGGGAGACAGACATGAGAAAACAACTCTCTAACAATGTACCTGAAAGCCATAAACAAGACCGCCTCGCTCCTCAAGCTTAGATTAGGGAACTCCTGCCTTCCGACCCTTCTCCCTCTCCCAGCCACCATCCCTGGCTTCCTCCTCTCTGTTCCTTTCACTCCTCTGTGTCAGCTAAGGGATCAGAGAGCTTGCTGGGAGTGGAGCTGTCTGCACCCTGGCCCACTTCTTCTCCGCCTTCTGCAAGTTCCTCTGCTGGCAGGAAATGGCTGCTTATGCCAGAAGGGCTGTTCCTCAGGAGGTGGCCCAGTTCCTTCTCAAAACATTCCGCTGCTTGCAGCAGCTCTCCATTCAGCTTGTGAGTGAGTCCTTGGAGATACCAGGAATTCCGTGGAAGCTGACTTTCAGCTCCGTTCGCAGTAGATTTTGTGCTTAAATGTTTCGGGACAGGAGTGTCTTCAGATTGCCCATTTTGCTCCTGAAAGTTGGAATAGCCATGAGGCAGTTGTTTTCTCTCCACCTTGGTAAAAGCTGTCTGATAACATTCTTCTGTGTCCAGCTCAGTGATATCAGAGTATACATACAGAGGATCCAGTCCCTTCTCAATAGCTTTCTTTGAATAGTCCATAGCAGATTTCCGTAGTTCTTCCATCTTCTCTCTATTCCCACCGGCTTCGGAGTCCTCTGCGCCCTGAATTTGTTTCTCTTTTGCCCGATAGCAGAATGCTAACTGGCGATAGATGTGGGGATCATTGGGCAAGGATTTCAACGCCTTTTGAAACAGCTCAATTGCTTTGTCTAGATCACCTCTTCTTAGGTAAAATTTGGCTGCAATGCGGAGGATATCTGTTTGGCCAGGAGCTTTCTCCAGGGCCTCTTCTATCAACGGCTCCCCTTCCGCTTCTTTATATATCTTTTGCAATTTCAGGCCCAAGAGAACTTTGAGGTACTGATTGTCGGGGTTGAGCTCAATGGCCTGCCTCAGAACACTGACACAGAACTGCTTCGGTGGCTTATCGTCCAGACGGTACATCGCGATGGCCAGCCCGGTAGAGAATTCTGGGTTGTTGGGTTTCTCTTCCAGAGCCTTCTCAAAATACACCTTCACCCTTTCATTCTGCTTTGCCCCACACTGCAGCAGGGTCCACCCTTCCTCAGAGTCGAGCTCAGGACACTCAATGCTGTAAGGATTCGAAAACTTCTCACACACTTGTCTCACCTTGTCTACGTACACCTGAGCTTCCGAGAGTCGGTCCATGTGATAGTAGACCCAGGCGTAGTTGCCCCAGGTGACCAGACTCCGGATTTCTGCTTGGTCAGGGTGCTGCTGCTGGATTAACTCTTCAGCCTGCCGCAAGCATTCCAGCGCCTCCTTGTGCTGGCCATCTAGGTGCTTTATGTAGGCCAGCAAGTTGTACATGGTAGCTTTGAACTCGGTGCTTAAAAATTCAATCTGGTTACATACTCTATCTTCTAGATCATGGGGGACACCGTCTTCCTTAAGTAATTTCCACGTGAAATGGCATTTCAGCTGTGGAAGGATTTTCTCCAGAGAGCTCTTGCTGACCTCACTGTGGAGAAAATAAACATGGTCACTCTGAGGGGCACCTGCCAAGCCTCGCACCGTGTGATGCAATCCGTGAACTGTGTGTGTCATCTTGACTGGGCCATGGGATGCCCAGGCTTTCAGATAAACATCAGTTCTGGGCATATCTGTGTTCCCAGAAGAGCCTAGAATTTGCCTCAGTGGACTGAGGACAGTCAATTGCCCTTCACAATATCCAGTCTCTTGTGGGCCTGGGGATGGGGCAGAGGAAGGGTGAATTTGCTCTCTCTGGTTGAGCTGGAACATCTCCTCAGGCTGGGACTTCTCCCACTGGCTTTTCTGTATCTGCAGCTTGCACTGCGGCATGTCACAGCCTCCATAATCATGTGAGTCAATTCCTCATAATCTCAATATCTCTCTCTCTCTCTCTTTCTCTCTCTCTCTCTCTAGCTTATTTACATTTATATGTACAGGGTGGAGCAAAAGAAGATTTACAGTTGTTCCTATGGAAAACAATATAATAACTGATAAATAATAATATAAGAATAAACCATGTTTTGCATACTCACTGTCAACCTACTTTTGCCCCACTCTGTATACACACATATGTATGTATATATACCAGCACGGGTGAAAATCTTTATTTAAAAAAATAATAAGATCCATACTTTAAAAGGAAGGTTAAAAAAAATGTTTACAAATTAGGTAGAAGTGATACAAAAGAGGGTTAAAATGCTCAAAGAGGAAAAGCAAAACATCCAATTGTATAAAACCTCTTCCCTTGCAACAAATGAGCATAAAGTTGAAGATCCAGTTTGGTTTCCCAGCTGAAAATAACTTAGAAATAACCTGAGGTCAAACTCTGCGAGCCCATTCCTTGTACCTGGCTGTTTTTGATCTAAGGAAAGTTGATGACCACAGTGCAAGGCAGAGCTGATGGTACAACAGCCGAGAGTTCTCCGTCCCCCATTCACATTCAAGTGCAAGCCGAAGGAAGACAAGCCTTCAGTGAAGTCTGGGTTCTGCAGTTGCCTGAATGAATGTCCTCCATTGTGGTGCTCAAGATATTTTACTTCTTGGCCAGCAAAACACGGGAGAGCCTGGAACAATCTTTGGCAAATACTTCCTCTTCCCAGCTTTTGTGGGTTGGGCTTGACATCAATCTGCAGTGTATCTATGTGTCTCTTATGGGTTCTGTTTTTCTGGAGAACTCTGACTCCACACACCCCTAAATATTCCCAGACAGAAGGGCAGGTTCTTTCCTCTTGCTTCCTGGGCTTGCCTTTCTGTAGCTATGGTCTGTGTAAAAATCCACAAAGCATATCCCGTCCACTACGTGAGTAGATAGCAGGAGGTGGGGCAAGGTGGATGAGATTCGAAAGCTATGGTGAGAGGAACTGGGATCTCTCTTGTGTGGATCAGCCACTAAGTCGGGGCTCAGTCCTCACACACTCTGAAAAGGGGGTTTATTTAGCCAGCCAATGTCCTTCTGCAGGGCTACATTTTGTGTCACTTCGTGAGCTTCAGGGAAAACTAAGAAAAATAAAGTTTATCCTGGCTGTCTCTGCCCTTAGGAGCTCCCAGTGAGGTTAGAAGGACCCATGAAAAGAATGAAAACCCAGGGAATGTTTGCCACCATGCTGTGTGATTTAGTCTTTTCCCCTCATCTCCACCACTTCCCTACAGTCACACAGAACCCATGACAGCTAGGGTTCAGTCTGATTGAAGCAGTCTCCCCGACAGCCCAGATCCCAGAGAGAATGAATCTAAGTACATGAAATACTCTGCTGTTTTCACCTTGAGATTTTCATTATATATGCGTTATTTGTTCATGGACATGTTTACCTGTTCCTAGGTAATTCACATTTAGGATACCATTAACCTATTTAACTGAGTAGATACAAATAAAACATTTGAAGATAATTCTGACTTAATTAAAATACTATTGCCTTTCTAAAAAACCAATGCCCCATTTGCCAAGCTTTTCTCACTAATTTCTATCATGTGTGTTGGAAAGTTGCTCTAAATACTCTTTATATGTATACGTACAAAATTCAGTAAGTTACTGAACAGTAATTAAATCAGACATTAGAAGGGAGGACAAGCAAGCAGGCAGAATGATGGCTGCAGTAACTTGACAAAAAGCATGTCTCCATGCAGGGGAATCATGGGGAGCTGAATGTCCTTCCTCCCCAGACTGTAGTAGAAAACATTGGGGAGTGGGAGTCCCTCTGGTCCAGGGAGAGATTTCTCCAGGCCCCCAAGGGCAGCCTGGAGGTTTTGCTGACCAGAGCAGATCAAAGCAGCACTGCAACTCCTCGTCTGTTGAAGGGCTCTTTTAGGTATGAGAAACTAGTGATTGGAAATCACTTCCAAAAAGTGATTGGGAAACATCCAGAATCAACCCGTTGACAGTCAGTCTTCTCTCCTTTTCCTGCTCCCCTATCTGGATGGTGACAGACGACAGCCTGTGGGCACTGCCCACAGACCCCAGCGAAGACGCCTCATCTCCCTCCAGAGCCTGGTGAAAGCCATTACTAGACTAGATTCTTGAACTTTCCCGAAAGAGGCCCTGTTGAAATGGTAAGAGTTTCCAGAGAAACCTCCGAGGCAGCTTGTACGGGGACTGATGTGGTGAAGGGACGGGCAGAACTCCTGGCCATTGTTTTGGTCAGAACAGGCACAGCCCAAGGAGCCCATCTCTCAACAAGGGAGCCAACGAACTCTCCATAGCAGGGCCCCTAACGCCTTCACATGTGCATGGACCGCACCCCCCCCTGAGGACCTGGCTGAAATGCACTTCTGAGGTCAGCAGGTCCAGGACGCTGCCTTTACAGCCACCTCTCAGGGGGGTGTTGGATTCAGACCACACGGCGAGGAGCAAGGGCCCAATCAGTTTTTGGAGGTGATTTCCAGTCACCAGTTTCTCATCCCTAAAAGAGCCTTTCAACAGGCAAGCCTTGCTTTATAGCAATACCCTCCCCACACCCCCCACTGGCCACCCACTTTGGGCTTCCTCCACCTCCCATTTATGCACATTGAGTGTGTCCAGGAAGTACCTGTGGCCTTCTTGAAATGTGTATTCTGGGCTCTCCCCCCCCCTCCCCAGGCTTTAAGTCTGATTAGGAATTCAGCATGCAGGGCCCAGTAATTTGCATTCTAAGAGCGCGCTCTGCTTTCTTATACCCGCCAGCTGCAACCCAGCTTGAAAAGGCAACACTCTCCCTGCTCACAGAGGAGGCCTGGCAGGTCTCTAAGAAGACACATTCCTCAGTTCTGAAAGAGCCAACTGGAAGGTAGAAGCGACCTCATTCTAGATGGTAGTTTGCTAGTCATTAGCACATAAAGAAGCAAGCATAGCTGGAACCGGTTTGGCTCAGTGGATAGAGTGTTGGCCTGTGGACTGGGGGGGTCCTGGGTTCGATTCCGGTCAGGGGCACATCCCCAGTGGGGAGGGGGGAAGAAGGGAAGGGGGAGAGGGGGAGGGGGAAGGGGGAGAGAGAGGGAGGGAGGAGAAGGGGAAGGGGAGAGGGGCAGGGAGAGAGGGGGAAAGAGGGAAGGAAGGGGGAGAGGGAGAAAGGGAGGGGGGAGGGGAAGGAGAGGGGAAGGGGAGGGGAAGGAGGGGGGGAGGTGGGAGGGGGGAGGGGGAGGGGGAGGGTAGGGGGAGGGGGGAGGTGGGAGGGGGAGGGGGAGGGGAGGGGGAGGGGGGAGGGAGGGAGTGTGCAGGATTGATGATTTTCTCTTATTGATGTTTCTAGCTCTCTAGCTCTCTCTCTTTTTTTCTGTAAAAAATCAATAAAATATATATTTTTAAAAATTAAAAAAAAGAAGCAAGCATACTTTAAAAACTACCACCATGGAGCTCACAGACCGCTGGTTTAGTCCGATAAAATCTAAGACACCAAAGAGGGACCAGGACCTGGGCTGTCCCTCCCCGTTGCCAGATTTTGCCTGGAAGGCGGAGCAGGCTACCCCCGGGGCTCTCTCCAGGAACGCCAGTCCTGGACCTGCTGCCAGCGGCCAGCGCTCCGGCAGCACCTCCCTCCGTGTCCTCCGGCCGCCTGACTCAGAAACAGACAGCCACGGAAATAAAAAGGCACGAACTGGCCAGAGAGGGTCCTGGAAAGTTAAGAGCTGCGCATCTTTCCTCTCTAAGCACACACCGGATCGGGAGGGTTCTGGGAGCTGCACGCCAGGGCGGGATTGGTGAGAAACGCTCCACCGGCGAGCAGAGGAGCCAGGCATCCTTACCTCATGATGGCGATGTCCCCGGAATTCCCAGAAGCCGAGTCCAGGCTGGTGTCAGGTTCTGCTTGTGGATCGCAAGCGAGAGCTGATGAGGTGTCCGAGCCGCGGCGAGGTCTGTGCTTTTATGGAGAGGAAATGGAAACTGAAACTGATGGAGAGGCTGTCCGGACTCCTGGTGAGGAGAAATGAAACTAAGGTCTGAGCGCTGAGCTCACTCTCGCCCCCGGGGAATACTGTTCTCCTCCGGTTCCGAAACTGTGTGCGAGCGACTGGGAAGGGCACTAGAGGTGGCTTGCAGGTTCCAAGTCCTACTCCCAGAGACCTGATCCAACCTGGGGGTGGGCTGGGGCTCGGGAATCTGCATTTTTACACGCCCCCTGCGTTTACTGTGGCAGGAGGTGACACCCGGGTCCTTATGACTTTGATGAAAGTTAACTTTTAATAAAAACATATTTTATTGATTTTTCACAGAGAGGAAGGGAGAAGGGATAGAGAGTTAGAAACATCAGTGAGAAACATCAACCAGCTGCCACCTGCACATCCCCCACCGGGGATGTGCCCGCAACCAAGGTACATGCCCTTTGACCGGAATCAAACCCGGGACCCTTCAGTCTGCAGACCGACGCTCTATTCACAGAGCCAAACCGGTTTCAGCTGAAATTTAACTTTAAATCCTAATTCTAGAAATCACCTCTCTCTTTGTAGATACACTCCTCAGAAATGAGCCTGTCCCCCAGGTAATCCTCTGACATAGCAGAATACAGGAGCCCAAATCTGTCTAATGGTCACAGTATGGGGACCTCTGGCACCTTTAAAAATATATATATATTTTATTGATTTTTTTACAGAGAGGAAAGGAAAGGGATAGAGAATTAGAAACACTGATGAGAGAGAAACGCGATCAGCTGCCGCCTGCACACCCCCTACTGGGGATGTGCCCTCAACCAAGGCACATGCCCGTGACTGGAAATGAGCCTGGGACCCTTGAGTCTGCAGGCCACTGAGCCAAACCGGTTAGGGCCCTCTGGCATCTTGACCTTAGTTATGTTTCAGCTCCTGGGCCCTAAGATGGAATGGCCCTCTGGCTACTTTCCCAGGAGTCCAGACAGAGGGATGCCAGCAGGAATCTCGGAACTGTCCTCAAGGCCTGAAGAAATGACTCATCACCTTTACCTCACTCCGACCAAGGAGCTCCTAACCATTGTGATTTTGCCCTGTATAATCTGTAACCTACACACCATCTGGGAGTTAGGGCTTTTGCTCAAAAGCTTCCTGTTCTCCTGGGTGGCACCATTCGTCATAAAACAGCCAGCATTTCTCCCTGCAGTTCTCCGAGTCCAGTGTTTGGCTCTGTGAGGGCCGTGCTATTAACCTCCTATTCTTTTGCAGGAGTCCCTGTACCACATGTGCAGAAACACTGTCCTAGAGGTGTTTGGAAAAGCAGTTTCCGATTTGCTTGCAGCAGTTAATGTAGTGAATCAGACAATCTAGAAAAGAGGAAAATAAACACGGGACACCTGGGTTTAGGCTATGTCTTTGGTCAGCTCTGGGAGATTTCTTGAGCCTCATTTCTTTACTTTTAAAATGGCTTAGAATGAATTGGCTTTTTCCTTCCACCCAAATTATAGAAAACTATGCCGTGGGGAGACCCATTCTTACCTTCATCTAAGGTGTGGCCCTAAGGAGTGAGTCGCCATCAAAGAGTGGTCCTCACCCTCTAAATAGGGACCCTGACGGCCTAGTCCTCCCAGTCCCTGCCCCTTCTCTCTAACGGGAGCATAACTGACAGCAGTAAGACATTTTGCCCTGTTGGCCTTGGTGCCCAGAGTTGCGAAATGCTTGACACTGGGTTTGGGCACCTGGGTAATGGACTAACTGGATGTAAACTCTTGGGCAAGTAATTTGCCCCCTGAACCCTGTCTTTCTCACCTAGGAAATGAGGCTAATAATAAAAAAAAAATAACAGTTCTTCAGAAGATGATAGGCGATAATGCATTTAAAGCACTTAACAGGGCTGATTGCGTGGAAACTGGTACAACTGTGATTACTGGTAAATTAGTGCTACAGTTTTAAGTGGATTTTGAGGGGGTGAAGTGGGCCACAGAGTTTCTCAGTGGATGGGACAGAGGAGGCATCCATGAACCAGCTAACAAGGTGCTGGGCGTCTCCCCATGTGGCTCTCCCTTTGACAATGTTTAGCACTTCTGGGGAGGAGCGCCTAATTCCGGTGGCCCACATACTCCAGCATGCCCCCTCAGACTTCCTCAGGTCAGGGCTCTGGACACCCCCAAGCACAGGTCGCTGCAAAACCTCTTGGACAGACTGAGGCTCTGGGCAGCGCCATGTTTGCTGCAGGTACAGTTAATATTACTCATGGCCAGGAGCCCATTCTATAGAAAAAGGTGACCCGAGGCACCTGGCAGTGGATTCCTCTTACTCCTCTCCTGCTGCAGAGGATTTGGGAGCCCTTGGGTCTTCCTTCCCTCACTGCCTGAGTGGTCCCTTGGATCCTTCCTCCCCAGACAACCAATCCCTCGCAGGGCTGTTTGATGGGAAAGGCTTCTTTTTCTCTGTCCGCTCTCTTCTGAAGTTCTGTGTGATGGCAGAGCTCCAACTGGTCTGTAGGCACTTTTTGAAACCATGTGCTAAGGTTATAGCTTACCTACAATAAAATGCACCCATTTTTAGTGGACAGTTTGATGTGTTTTTCCCAATGGATATACCCAAGTGACCACCAGCAGTAGCTCCTTGTAGACTATCTGCATGGTCATCAGTTTCCCGTGTGCCTTCCTAGTGGGTTCCAGCCCCACCTGCCTCCACGCCCTGGCAGCCATGTCTCTGCTTTCTACCACTAGAAATTAGGTCAGTATTAGACAAGGATTAGTGCCAGTAACCGAAACCTAACATTGTCACTGGTAATAAAATGTAAAGGGAGCTGGTCAACCTTGATGGCTCTGAATGGCCAGAGCTATTAACTCATTGTCAAGATTGAGTCACTAGTGGTGAAATGTAAAAAGAGCTAGCTAACCGAAACCAAACATTGTTCCCTGGTAGTAAAATCTAAAAAGAGCTGGCCACCTGGATGGCTCTGAATGGTCGGAGCTATTCACTCATTGTCTAGTTGAGATAGTGGTAGATAGAGGCAACTTTAATTTGTTGATCATAGGTAAATTCTTGTTGATTTCTGTTGTTGGAATTTCCCCGCCTAAGAGATGTCTTTGTCTCAGAACCTCAATAAAAGGAATGGTAAAAGGCCAGAGCAATGGAGTAGTCCTACCACTAGAGGTGGACTTCCCGCCTGGCATCCATTTCCCCAAATTAACTATTTTCTAGCTTCTTCATTTTAGGGTGCGACTTTCTCCAGAAACCGGACTCTGAGTGGGCCCCGAACTACGTGGATCGTGTTAAGGGATCCCACAGGTTAGACCATTCATTATATTTTGAAGAGAAATGATTTTCAGCTCTCATCACAGCAATAAAAACCAACTCTAAGCCTTTGGTTTGTTTTCATATAAGAAATGGAAAAAAATAAATGCCCATCTGTAAGAATTCCCATCTTGAAGTGATCAAACTTTCAGGGTGAAATTCCTCTCAATGTGAGTTGGCTTTGGACTACCAATTCCATCTTTAATAAGGTCTGCTGAAAAGAAAATGACAAGAAGAAGGCCTTCGGTCCTTCAAAGGAGAACAACAACAAAACCCCATAAAGAGGAATTTTTTAGCTCTGACACTGAATCAGCAAACTTGGTGCCTGAGTGGATCTAACCACTCCTGCCAAACCTCCCTCACCCAGCTCCCAGCTCCACCAGCTGTTCCAGGGAACAGTTCTAGAAGTTTCAAGAGCTGAGTTCCTATTTTTTTCTATTTCCAGAAAAAGCCCCGGAAATAAAAAGTGCTATGAAGGCACAATCAGTTGCTAAGTAACAGGACAACTCAGAACCTGTTTTGCACTCAAGATCAATAGTATCTATATCTTGCCAAAACCGGCTTGGCTTAGTGGTTGAGTGTCGGTCTGTGGACTGAAAGGTCCCAGGTTCGATTCCAGTCAAGGGCATGTACATTGGTTGCGGGCACATCTCTGGTAGGGGGTGTGCAAGAGGCAGCTGGTTGATGTTTCTCTCTCATCGACATTTCTAGCTCTCTATCCCTCTCTCCTCCTCTCTGTAAAAAAATCAATAAAATATATTTTTAAAAAATAGTATCTATGTCTTATTGTCTCACTGACCTCGTGACTGCAAACCGCTTTTCTGCACGTCTCAAAAGATGGGTCCAAGCTGATTGGCTCTTCCGAAATCTTCTTTGTCTGTGGCAAGTAAATGCTGAAGGGGCTATTTAAAGGGGAAGGCAGGTATGAGCAGTTGCTAGCTTCCCTTTTCCAAGAGAGTGAGAGGGAAGAGGAACTGGAAAGTGAAAGTGATTTCACATCACGAGGAGGAAAATAAAACAAGTTTGATGAGTTCTGCTATGACTCAGTCCGAGTACATTGTTTAAATTCCACTCACACTCCCTGGGGTGGGTCCCAGGAAACAGCATTTTTAATAGTCTGTAGGAGATACAGACCCCAGGGGTTTCTGGGACCACATGGTGTGAAAAATTGTTCCAGAAATATTTTCTAAAACGTAGATTCATCCACAGATGAATCTACGTTTTAGAAAAACGTAGATTTTCTAAAAATCTACGGCATCCATTGTGGCAGACGATTTGCACTGGGAGACCTGGATTTCGTTCTGTTTGTTCAGTTGACTAGCACTTGGGTTAGCCATGAATCGCACCACTCCGTCCTAATCTGCTTTACCCCAGAATAAATATAAAAAGCCAAGCCCTGGAGAGAACCTTGGCAGTTTAGATCTCTGGGTAGTCTAAGATAATAGTTTAGTTTTCCCAGTTGTGAAATGGGGAAGTAGTAACACAATAGTGTGTGGTGGCTGGCTAGTTAGCTGATAAATTTACATGCCTGTATTTATTCTTTGAGCTTGGAAGGAGGAATACTACTTTAAGACACATATAT